TAGTGCCCCTGGAGATTTAGGGGAGCTTAGCCCAGCTCAGCTCCAAGCCATGCAGTTCCATTTCTCTTCTCCTCTGGGCTCCTGTTGACCCTTTCTCAGCTACGTCTTCCACATCGTGCTCTTCCAAACCCCAGTGTGCATAGGAGTCACTTGGAGATCTTGTTAAAAGGGTGGAGGGTGGAGCCTGAGATTCTGCATTTCATACATGATTCCAGGTGGTGGCACTGTTGCAGCCAGACTGTACAACCCACTACAAGGTGGAGGTGAGGGGTGGGGGGGTCCCAAGGCTGTCTCTTCCCCTGCCTTGTTGCAGCCTCATTACCCCAGGCCAGCACCAGGGCTCAGCCCACAAGCACTCTCCCGGCCTCTCATCCTAGACTGTGCAATACGGTCGCCACCAGTCATAGTGCCTACTTAAATGCAAATTAATGAAAACTTAAAATTTCCTCTCCTATTCACGGTAGCCACATTTCACATATGCAGTTGCCACACGTGCCACATTATACAGAAAAGATACTGAGCAGCACTTTCTTCATTGCTTAAGTGCCATTGGATGGCACTGTGCAATAATCTCAGCTCCACCTAAACTAACCACACACTGGCTGCCAGTCTCTCCACACCGTCAGCTCCTTGAAGGCAAGCTCTGTGTTTGTCTTGTCATTTTTCTCTAACCACAGAACCTACCCCATATCCTTTCTCCCATTTGACAAATATGTATTGATCATCTCCTATACAGCAGATGCTGTGCTGCTCCACTGGGAGCAAGTGGAGCCCAGAGGTGAACAAGACGAACACGGTCCGTGTAACTGCAGAGGTCACAAGACAGGCGCTCCGTATGTCTTCACTGAAATAAGTAAGTGAATAGATCATCCACAGACCACCCCCAGGGAGATCTTCACAATGATTCTCATAATTCTCCCTAGCCCAGAAATTTTTAATACTTGCTTTCAATCTGCAGAAGAAAATCCAGATGGGGTATGAGGCTCCTCTGAGAGGCAGAGATGCATGATTAGCATCTTCGTTTGTTACGGCTGCTGTTAACAAACACCACTGACTGGGTGGCTCAAACAGAAATTGATTTCTTCCCACAGCCCTGGGAGTTAGAAGTCCAAGATCAAGGTTGTCAAGAAAGTTGGTTTCTCCGGAGACCTCTCTGCCTGGCTGGGAGACAGCTGCCTTCTCCTAGTGTCCGCACGGTTGTTCCTCTTCTTATAAGGACACTGGTCAGATTGGATTAGGGCTCACCCTAATAATCTTAGTTTAATTATTATTATTATTATTATTATTTTTTTTTTTTTGAGATAGAGCCTCGCTCTGTCACCCAGGCTGGAGTTCAGTGGCGCAATCTCGGCTCACTGCAAGCTCCGCCTCCTGGGTTCAAGCGATTCTCCTGCCTCAGCCTCCCAAGTAGCTGGGACTACAGGCGTGCACCACCATGCCCAGCTAATTTTTGTATTTTTAGTAGAGATGAGATTTCCCCATGTTGGCCAGGCCAATCTCAAATTCCTGACCTCAGGTGACGCACCCTCCTTGGCCTCCCAAAATATGAGATGACAGGCAGGAGCCACCGCAGCCCTCCCTTAGTTTGATTTAATCACCCCTTTAAAGGCCTTGTCTCCAAATACAGTGACATTTGAAAACGCTTGGAATCAGGCCTTCAACATATGAATCTGGGAGAGACACGGTTCAGCCCATAGCAATTAGAAATACGATTTTGGAAACTAACAAAACTGGGTTCTGGTAGCAGCTCTGATCTTCTTGCCAGTGGGAGGGAACTGGACTTGTCTGAGCCTGTTTCCTCTCCAGAGAAAGGTGCTAAGCCTACCTCCCTCCCGAGGCTGTCAAAAAAATTACAAGCAATTACTTGCATGAAACACCGAGCAGAGCTAGCACATAGTAGGCACTGTGTTAATTACAGCCACTGGTATCATGGCTCTACCTCCCCGATCCCCCGGCAGCAACCCTCCCCTTTCCTGTGGTCCCTGAGCGCCCTGAGCCTTGCCTCCCCAAGCCCTGGTTCCCAGCCCGGCTCCTCGACTTCTCTCCCTGTCATCACATTCAGACCTTAGTCTTCCTTCCCCAGCTCCTTCAGACCTCCCTTCTCTAGATAGCCTTGCGGTCAGAAGTCAGTCCCAGCTCTTCTTCTCCAAGCTGTGTTAGCATTCCTGTCAATTCCACACCAGCACCCAATTAACACCTAGGAATTAAAACCCCATGCTGTTAATCTGTCTGCTAACTCCCCTGCCCTACCACAGTTATGCCACCTTCTCCATTAGATGCGAGAGATTTCAGATCAGAGCCCATTATACTCTTTAGTCTTTCTCATAGCACCTGTCAAAGTGTCTTAAACACAGTAGGCCTCTATCAACCAACAGCATTTGTGGACATAAAAATACTTCTATATGGTCAATATTCACTAAGAATGGTGTGTGTGTGTGTGTGTGTGTGTGTGGTGTGTGTGTCTGTTTAGCATTTAAACAGCCATGGGAAACAGAAACATCAAACTCAGGCTCAGGCTGCTGGTTCTCTCTTGGGGGAAGAGGAGGTAATCCCATGTGGATTTCAGTGTTGGCAATATCTGGTTTTGTTTTTTTATTATGCTGGGTGGCAGCTACCGTATTATGTTAAATATCGCAAAATAATATGTCCTTACTTGATAGATATCTGCTGTTTACAGATAAGCTTATTAACATATACAAGGAATGTATGAGGAATTCTCCTGACACAAGAGAAAATGCTTAAAATATTTGTTTTAGAAGCTATTTAGTTAGGATTTCAGAGTATAACTCAACAAACTCCTTTAATTAATATTTTAACAGGAAATATTTATGAGACATTACAGGTCTCATAAATACAAATAGAATGTCTATAAATAGGAGAAAAAGTAATTTTCTGCAAGTCTCATATTCTAAGGAGAAAATCTTTAATTGTGAAGCCGTCTCCTGTGCGATGAAAGAAGGTAAGAGAAGCAGATGAAGGGGACAGAGGAGGTGGGGCTGTCCGCTAATTAACAGTGATAATACACAAACATTCTCTGTTGCTTTCAATCGCCTCTTAAGCAATTTTCAGACAATAAAAGACACACTTAGCACCTTGCACTCCTCCCTGAGTACTTTTCATTCGTTTCTATCCTCAAATGTTGTCTGTGCTCTTTGAGAGGCTTGGTCATGGAAAAGCTAAAGCTCCTATAAGTTTGCAACAATCATTCAGGGCTACACGCCCCAAAGGTCTCATTTTTCAGTTCTCAGGTGAGACCTGGACACAGATTTTTCTGTCTCCTGATCCAAGGTCCCATCACTGAGAGACTCTTCGGAAAACAGTATTTCCCAGAGAAACCTATATTTTGCTTTAAAGTCAGTCCAGCTCCCTTCCCGCCTGCCCCACGCCGCCACCTTGTAATGGCAGAAGGAATATCGTGGTCTTTATACGTAATCCAAAAGCAACCGCCCCTCTCAGGCCTTAGCAGATGATTATAGTGTGTGTTATCTGGACCTGAGAACTGCACAGCCAAAGCCTCTCTCAAGAACTAGGCAAGGAAGGAATTAAGAACTTTCTCCTCATTAGTGTTCAGCCCTCAGATCGGCCAAGGTACAGTGAGGTGTGTGAGCACCTGGGCAAGCTGAGTCCCTAAGGGGACACAGAGCTTTCCTGTTAGGGACCGTTGTGGCACATTTAGTAATCACCCCCTCTACAGAGAGAAGAGCGGCATTCAGGAGGCCCGCTGTGGCAGGGCTGCTCTGAGAACTGTCCCAGAGGAGGGTGCCTGGGCCGTGGGCTGCATGCACGCTAGTCTCCAAGGCAAGAGGACCCCCAGGCCACTATTAGAGACCACATTTCCATGTCACTGTGCTTACAGGAGAGGATGGACTTAGTGCCCTCCGGTATTAGTGACAAGCATTTTTCTCATTGGAAGGTAATAAACCAGTTTGCTGGTCATAGACATCATTCTCTTAGCATTTGTGCTAGGTGCTGGGGGTACCCCGCTTTTGACCAAGTTGTGTCTGCCCCTGAGAGAGGGGGCTGGCATGGAGGATGTTGACCGAAAAAGGCTGGGTGACAGAGAGGGGCCAGAGGGAACACCACCCGGCGAGAAGGCCCACCCAGAACAACCGGTCCTCAGAGGCACCTGCCGGCCCTACCCAGACAGCAGCCCTCCCTTCCAGCGTGCCCTGGCAGCTGCCTTTCCTACGGCCCCCACGATTTAAAGAACACACTCTGGTCATCATCTGTCCTCAAGGCAGGGAGGAATCCAAAAGGGAAAGCCGGGAGGCGGTGCGGAGGACGCCGGCTCTGCCCACGCCTGGGCAAGGTTGAGCTCTGTTCCCTCCCGGCCGCTCCGGCCTCGGGTCCGTGCAGGGCGCGTTTCCAGCCATCGCCGCCCAGCAGACGCCGCACGCCCGGAGGAGAACGTCCGAGGTGAGCAGCGAGCCCGGGGACAGCAGGCCTGGGTCCTGTCCCTGGACCTACTCCACCTGCAGCCGACGGATCAGGCCCCCGGACGCTCCCTCCGCGGCGGGTGCCAGAGCCGTCGCGCGGGGGCTGCAGCGCCCAGACTGCGGCTCCCCCGGCTTCCCGAAGGAATTCCCCCATCTGCTGCATCCCTCCCGGGAAGCCGAGAAATGCTGCCAACCGCCCGCTCGGCGCACCGCGGAGCGACCGAGCATCCCCGCCGAGGCTCCGAGCCAAGATTTCTGCCCTAATAGTTTCTCCCTTCTTTCTGTCTGCTCCACCGCACCCACTACACACGCGGCGCTCACACACGGACACGCGTGCACACGCGGCGCTCACACACAGGTGCGGGGCCCTGGCACCCGCAGCAGGGGTGCAGCCGGGGGCAGGGGGAGCCGGGGGAGGGCGCAGGGGGCCGCGGGTAGGAGAGCGGAGGGCTGGACGCCTGCCGGGCTCTCCCGCCGCCTTCCTCCTCCCTACAGTCCTACCGAGCTGACGGCGTCCCGGATCACATGGAGCCCCCGCCCCACCCCAGCCCGCCCCCCGCCGCCAATGCCGGTGGCCCTTCCAGTCGCGTTACTACCCAGAGATTCATCCGTACCAGAGACGGAGGTAGAGAGGAGGGGAGAGGGAGGAGGGGACACACCACACACACACCACACACACACACACACACACACACACACACACACACACACACGGGGGGTGGGGAGACAGAGAGAGAGACTGCCTCCAGCTGCTCACGCTGGAGAAAGGGAGTGACCCAAGGGGCCGCGAGTGAAGGGGCAGGATGGCTTAGGCACCTCTGCCCAAAGGACCCCACGACAGGGAGAGGTTCCTGCTACAGCTCCTCCGTGGGGTCATGGCAGGGGCTGGGGAGTCCCCCCGAAATCCCTGAGCGCCCCCAGCACTGCCGCTAAGGGACACCCCAGAAGTTAGCCCCAGTGGGACTCGGCAGCTCCGATCTCAACAAGTAAGTTCTCGTTTTTACTCCTCCATTTCTCCCCCGGCTCCTGGGTTCTGGCGGGAGGACGACACCCTCGGGTGTCCATCGCAGGGGCAGCAGGCTTTCACAGGGAACCTGCTAGATTGGGAGCCAGGGAGGATAAGGAAAAGCTTAGGGCAGGACTCAAGTTTAGCCAGGACATTGGAGATCTCCGTGGCTGCAGGACGCCCTGGGCGTGGGGAGCCCGGCCGTAAACACCTCCACTTCTGGCTCTAGACCAGGGCTACCTGGGGGCACCCCAGATGTCCCAGCAGTGGTGTGAGAGGCAAGGACAGCGACTAGGAGGGGGTGGGGTGGGGTGGGGCGGACATTATTCATCTGATAGGACTCTACCTTCAAATGGGAGCAGGGAGGGCCAGGGTGGGGGCGGTGGCCGCTCAACCTTAGATCCCCTGTCTAATCTTGCTTTCTCTTTTAAGTGTGGCCAAATTGGAAACACAGCCTTGTGATTTCTGCCCCCCTCACTGCCAGAGTCACTTCCTGCATACCTCCCTATCTCTTTTTAAACAGCTTTCAAACGGTTCAGAAAGGCCAGAGGTGAAGGCTTCGAGGACAGAGGATAGGGAACTGGGAAGGGCAACCTTGTCACTGCTCCCCTTCTCCTCCAGTCAGTGCTTCTCCCTGCAGAGCTGTCACCCCCTGGTTTTATCTGTGCCTTCCCTCAGACAGGGCTCCCCCCCACCTCCCCGGGGCTGTGGAGGGCCTCAGGTTCAGCCCCCAAAGTTCTAGGGCTGCCCAGAACCTGTGAGCAAGGCCAGCCCAGAACCTGTTCCAGAATTCTTTTCAAACACCAGAAGAAGATCAACAGGAACCTGCCAAGTACTTGACTCTGTTTCAATCCTTTTAATAAGCCGAGATGATCACCTTCCTTCTACAGGTGAAAAATTGCAGCCCAGAGAGGCTGTGCCACTTGCCTGAGGTGCACAGCTCATAAAGGGATCTTGTTTCCTAGCTCTGACTCCAAAACGTGCCTCGTTTTCATCATAAGCCATGCTTTATAGGGTTTTCTGGTTCCCAAAGCACTTTTCCATGTGAGAAAAAGGCTAATATTTATGAAACCAAGGTGCTGAGCTAGCTACGTTCATGAGCTCATCTTGACATCAGTCCTGTGGGCAGAGCTTGAGTCTTCTGTTTTGTAGATGAGTGAGGGTGATAGAAGTCCAAGTACTCCGCGGCGGCAGCGCTGTTATTTCCAAAGCTCTTGTCCTCTGGCTTTAAATCCAGGGTCTTTCCACTAACAAAAGCTAATTCTGAAAGCTGCTCTGGTCTTCCCACGTCCCTGCTTTTCCTCAAAGCCAGGTGTAAGTCGCACCATCTGGCTGAATGAGGCCCTCAGGCTTGCTGGAATCCGAGGAATGAACAGAGCAGAGCGAATGATGTGGGAGTTAGAGGCCCATGGCCGGACTGTGGTGTGAAAAGCTTGGTCGGCGTGGTTGGCATTTTAAACTATCTATAGAGCCCACCTGAGATGGCACCGTTCTGCCTAGGGGCATAAGGCCTTTGGGGGGTGGCCTGGGGTACAGCCTGGACAGGGTATGTGCTTCTTGGAAGAGCAGCAGCAGGGCTACCGCTGAAACAGAAGAAACAGCACATAGAGCACTTGCCAGCTCAGGGGGCTGAGGTAAGAGGCTTACTTGAGCCCAGGAGTTCAAGACCAATTGGGGCAACATAGCAAGATCCCATCTAAAAAAAAAAAAAAAAAGAAGGGATGGAGAATTTGCCTATACATTCCACAAAGCACAGGGATTGTCCCCAGAGCAATATTCCAGCCCCGATACCTCGCTCTCCAACAGAAAGAGAACCAGCCACTCAGGCATGGCTGTTTTCTGGCCTCTCCAAAAGCTGCTGTAAATTGCTGGCATTACTCACAGGCAGCATTTTTTATTTAAGTAGCCTGCCTGCATTCAGCAGAAAATGAATGTGCTCCATCCAGCGAGTAGTTCGGCTGAAGGAGGAGCCGAGGGTGAGGAGGCTCACAGAGGAGCTGGGCCACATTCACTCTGCCCCGGGCTGTCCCCAGAGCTTAGCTACCTTCTCTAGGATGAAGTCAGATCTTAGTGGGATTCCCCATCATGGCTTCCCTGGAGTCTGCTGGCTCATCCAGAGCAGTGCAAAGCTGTTCATTTGTGGGTCCAGCAGAGACAGGCGTGAGGCTCTGTCACAGCATTCCCCTGCCTCGCTGCCTCTGGTGCAAAGTGAGATCCCTCTGGGGCTTTTTGCAAGCTCCTGACTGGGTTTCTTGTCCAGGAATTCAAGAGACTCTGAAGGCTGCTCTAATCATCTGTGATGAAGTAAACTCCCCAGGAGGGAAGAAACTGACTAGAGTACCCATTCTCCAGTTCCCACTTGCCCTTCAAATGACCTGATTCTTCTGTCTGCTGTGGGCGAAGCCACAAATGGGTGTGCTATGCTTTCATGTACTTGAAAACTGCATCCACTTCGCATTTTTAAAACTCGTTCAACAACCATACATTTGATCACTTATCATGTATCAGCAATAATTAATTTTTGAAAACCTTGGAATGTGATCGTTGGGGCAGGGTTATGCTTTTTGTTTAGGTGAATGTTAGCAAAAACTTGCATTTTCTGAGCCGATACTGATTGACTTTTTAGGCTGAAGGTGGAAAGATGGTAGAAAGAAGGCAGGGGTCAGGGAATCCATCAGGTAGTTCAAAGGGGCTATTTTTGGATGAAAATGCTCACTGTGTGTGGGCCACAGACAGGTCATTGAGAGCTGGCCGTGTTTCCAAGAGTGGATCTGTCATCAGATAATGATAGCAGTCAGCCAAGGAGGAATTTAAAAAAAAAAAAAAAAGCATGGGAGTCCAATCCAAAGGATTGTAGTGAGCCATTTGAATAAGAATACCTGAGCGTATTTCTCAAAAAGACTTGTAAAGTGGCTTTCTCTGGAATTCTTTTAGAACAGAGTGAACAGCTTCCCCTTCTGACATTCTACCAGCCGGGGCTGGCCTGGCGTGAGTGGCTGCCTCTGAAGCCCCTGCTGGACAGCAGCTTATCCAGCTCCTCCTACCTTGACATTCTGATAAGGGAGCTATTCTAGTCAGCAGGGCCCAGGATGGCGGGAACCCTTGCCAAGAGCCGTGCTAAGTTACATGGCGGAGCCAAAGCTTTAACGCGTGACCCTGGAGATCCTGGCTACTGCTTAAATGTTAACTTCCATTATCATTCCGGACCAGAGCAGCCTGAGGGCAAAGGTTACGGATTCTCTGACCAGTTGGCAGGTGGCAACAGCACTTCCTGGTCACCAGGGATCAATCAGTGGGGTGGTCGGATAATATGGAGGAACAGAAAGGGTAAGGGTGAGGGAGACGTGGAGGGGTGGGGGAGGAAAGGAGAGAGCAAGTTTGGAGTCTCATTCTCGTCCCCTGTGACTTGGTGGTTCGGGCTGGGTGTGTTGCCCACCCTGCACGTTTTCTCAGACTTCAGGCACCCCACCATACAATCAGGGAGGTCCAATGTTATCATCCTACACTATTTCCTGCTGCTCAGAAAGAAAAATGGGAGCAGAGTGTGGTGCAAGAACCAAGAGGACCTCAGATGCTTCCTGGGGCCAAACCTGTGTCTCCCTCTCAGAGTGTGCCCCCCAGTTTCCCAACCTCAGGGATGACTGCACTGCTTAGCACTTGGTGCCTGGAGCCTTGAGCAGTGGGAGGTGCTGCTTATGCTCCACCAAGGGGGCTGTCCGGCAGCACCAGCAGAAGCCACGCGTGCCAGGCCCCAGCAGCCAGCCCACTGGACGTCTCAGTATAAAGCCTTCCCCGGCCAAGTCAGGCTGCTTTGTAAAGTGTCCTTCACCAGATAAATGCTCTCAAAAATATGTAGGGAGCTCCTACCACAGGTCAGGCCTTGTGTAGGCACCTGAGCTAGAAGGTGGGATCTTACACACCAGGCCTGCCCTCCCTCCGAGCTCCCAGACCACTGCCTGGGGACAGCGGAGCTACCCAGAGAGATTCCGGCATCGGTGCTGCAAATTCTTAGGGAGAGGCACAGGGGGCCGCAGGGGTGAAGGCAGGCTGCCCTGTGGGGGTAGGGCAGCCTTCTAAGGGGGCTTGAGAAACAGGTTTGCTGGTGACCCAGCGCCTGCCCCCGGCCCTGAACACCTTTCCTTGGTCTCTTTCAATCTCCCCTGACTCCTCCTAAACATGCATGCTGGGGCACATCTTACTCCCTTTCTCTTCTTCTCCCTATCTCTCTTTCTTGGTTGGTTTGTTTCCCCTCCATTTTTGTCTTTTTTTTTTTTCCACTCATCCTCTTCATCATAAGCGCATTTATGCTTCTTTCACTCAACCTCTTTATCTACTACAGTCATTCTTTATTTTTTCATTAAATGTTTTGATTTTGAGATCGTGATAGATTCACATGCAGTTTCAGAAATAATAAACAGAGATCTGCCATTCCCTTCATGCAGTTTCTCTCAGTGGTCGCATCTTGCGAAACTGCAGTAGACCACCAAAACGAAAACGAATACGTAACTGGTAAGAAAACAACATTTCCATCGCCACGGAGATCTTTTCCGTGGCCCTTTTATAGCCACGCCCACTTCCCTCCCACCCCACCCTTTTCTTAAACTCTGGCAACCACTAGCCTGTGCGTGTCATCTCAAGAATGTTATGTAAGTAGAATTATACAGTATGCAATATGTCATCTTTTGGGATTGGCTTTTTTCACTCAACAAAATTCTCCTGGAGATTCATTCAGGAGCGTGCATGTGTGCTTGGTGTGTGTGTGTGTGTGTGTGTGTGTGTGTGTGTGTGTGTGTGGTGTTTCATTGCTGAGTATTGGGAATGTGCCGTGGTGGGAATGCTCCGTAGTGGGAATGTACCACTGCTTGTTGAACCATTCACTCACTGAAAGGCATCTGGGATGTTTTCACTTGGGGCTATTATAAATAAAGTTGCGATAAACATTTGTGGACTGGTCCTTATGTGAACATAGGTTTTCATGTC